ATCACGTTCTGTTTTATCCTATTCTGATTGATCATGCTCTGTGCAGGGTAGTTCTATTTGTTCCGATCACCCAGAAAGATATATCTAAAACTAATATAAAATTGTATTTTAATATAAAAAAATGTAGTGTAGCTTTAGCTGTGCGGTTTCACTAAGTTTACAATTATTGCATCCAAAGGCTAAAACATTTCAGACAAAGTAAATTCATAAATTATTGTATTTATCAATAATTAAACCTATTATTCTTATTTATTCATTCATTCAGGTACTTGAAAATTTTATTAAAATACTCTTTGATATATAAAATTAAAGGTATATAAATTCAATAGATAACACGATTACAAAATTTAATCAAAAATGAACACTGGACGATATCAACATTAATTACGGTTATTACCCCTTCGTTATCTGCAAAACAGGGTTTTGTCGCTAACTGCGGCAAAATATGTTTTAACGAGAGAAAAACAAATAACGGAGAACCATTTATTGCCCTACGTATTTTTTTTATGTGGTAATAAATGTTGACTTTCCCAAAAACAAAGATATATGTTTGACTTTAGAAAATAAACGAAACATATATTGAAAATATTTATGATGTTGTATATTCGATGTGTTTTTTTCTTGTTATATTTATGTGATATCTAAATCTAATGTAATTTCATTACTCGTCTTACGGTTCAACCTAGTCAATAAATATATTATGAACTTTCATGTAAGATCTTCAATAAAACTATTTCAAATATGCTAATGATGCTTTGCTATTATAAATTAATGCGTTAATGGATGAAATAAAAGTACTAACGAATTAAATACAGTTTCATATTACATTTTATGGCATTAGGAATAACACTTACAAAATTAGACATGTAAATGTTACATAAACATATTTGCATACGTATTTCATTACAGGAAGTTGACTTGAAATAAGATAATTCTAAATTTTGTTTTGAAATTAAAATTTAATTCATTCAATTATGGCTTTTAAACAACAGTTTAAAGTACAGTACTCTATTCTAGGAATGGGTAAAATTTAGACATGGATAGCCAAAAATATTCCTTGCAACAATTATTAGGGAGCCACACATTCATTTTTTAACAAACTTTTGAGACGAAAGACATATTTTGTCTCCTGAGGACAATTTAGAAATTATTTGAGGGCCACATTTTTTTTTAATAAAGTTTGAATGTGTTAAAAATGATAGTTTTATTTTCATTTTAAATTTATCTTCAGAGCCACATATAAGTGTCAAAGAGTCGCATGTGACGTAACTTGCCGACCCGTGTTCTATTCTAAATATTTTTCTAGTCTCGTGTTCTAAACATATAATATTAAAAGAAACTTTATTTTTAGTACTAGAAGTACGAAGAAAAAATGTATCTATATATTTTTTATTCAGTAGTTGTGTCCTTTTATGGAGAAGCTAGATAGAAGGAATAAATTTTGCTGAATTCGATACACTCGGCTCATGTAAATATTTGGTGAACCAACGAAATTGCCTTACCCGTCCAGACAAACTTAGCTTATTCAAATTCAGCAATCTCATGTATCCTTCTCCATGGTAAAGAAATAAAATAAAACAATTGTTACAACTCCTTTTCATATACCGCAGCAAAATTTATTTCCAAGAAAAATATCAACTTACCAACATTTATCCAAGAATTTAAAAGTATTATTAATGCTTGAAATATTAATTATTTAAATTTTTATAATAAATAATTATTAAATAACCAACCAAAATGTTAATGACAGGTTAAGTGCTAATTATTAATTTGCTTCACAATAGAATGATCAAAGAACTTTTATGCAATTAATAGATTAAGATCATACTCTAGTATTAGTAGCAAATATACGATCAGATTATAATAATTGTAATTAAGCCCTTAAGGTTGGGCGTGTTACATCAAAGATGATATTAATGTGGGCTTCGGTGGATACAGAATGTGATTATCGAAACTATTATATAACATGATCGAGATTGATATAATACCAACGTGCGTTCGTCGGGCAACAATAAACGATGCACAAGGAAATGTGTAATTAAAAACGATTGCGATCTACCCGACCATTGCGCTTCCTCTAATTACGCACAACTATTATATAAGACACAACCGAGTAATTGTGTTGATAGTAAGCGCATTTCCTTCGACTGATTCTAATCAGTCCAATGCATTTCAAACTAGAGAAATTTAGAAAATTCATTTACAAGAACTAATTAGACCGTTTGTTAAGCAATTACGCAAATATAACATATGATTATTATATTCTTGTTACTGTATTAATTGATGTGATTTGTTTAAATTTAAAACTTTGGAATAAGTATGTTCCAAAACATATTTTAAGTGTTCTTAATAATAATAATAATTTATTGGCCAAACATTAATACATAAGAAGAAGAAGAAGAAAAAAGTACAATTTATACATAAATAAATTTTAACATATAATAAAAATATATATCAATAGGCTGGCCAAAGGTAAGTGTTCTTATTATCTAAATTACGAGTAAAATAAACAATTTTAAATCATGTTATAAATAATGAAAACTTTTTACAACATATTTTTATTTCATAACATAAACGAAGTGAACTGTATCATTTTTTTAAACTGCTATACAAAAATATACTTTGCATAGTAAAAATTGAAATTCAACTTCATCCGTTGCTAAAAAGAAAGTCTATTGCTGGATAAGAAACTATATATTTACAAATCGATACACATGCCAGTGTAGACGTATGGAATTCAGATTGAATTATTCAGTTATATGATTCAACAAGTAAATCCAATATTAAAATACTTTACTACTTCCATTAGAAAACAATGTGAATAATCATCAACGCAACATGTTGCATACCCATCAAGGTTATACATGAGATTAGAATGAAGACATATATAAGTAAAACTAGAGCTTTATCATATTTAACTTAATATAGTTAATATGCAGACAATTGTCTAACCCTGGGGTTCCCAAACTGTGCGAAAAGCGAAAATTCTAATATAAAAACATAAAGTTCGTCCTGAGATATATGTATGTTTTAGCTTGCCGCGGGGTGCCGCGCATAATTGTGATATATAAAGGGCATAGCAAACTGAAAAAGTTTGGGAACACCTGGTCTAACCAAATGTATTATAACGTTATCTTAATTACAAATAGGAAACTGGCGAAATTATGCTATTCACAAGGAAGGTTGTGGTAGTTAGTAAATTGATGCAAAAGTAGGTAAAAGATTATTTCAAATGTTAATTTAAGAAATATATAAGACAAGTAAGAATTGGTACATACTTGTTTTATAATATTGAATATTATTCAACTTGAAATATCTTAAAAAAAGTTGATTTTATATAATTAGTATTTAAAATAAAGAATTAATTGTTAACAAACCACAAATTGAAACTGTTTAAGAAATCAATAAACAAATTTTATGTTCTCTATTGAAACATGTAGCTTCGACATGTTGTTTGCAGTTTATCTTCGAAGAATATTGATTTTGCGTACAAAACTATAAAACTCCTCGGCCCTTATAAAATATAAAATTCATCGAATAAATTATTAGCTGCGTTAGTTGGCGTCTAAACTTACGACAATATTTTATTCATCCGTTATACTTTTGAATGTAATTCGATGTTACTAATTGGAATTTCAGAACTTCCAGACTGCAATTACAAATTTTAATTAAGGCAATTAATTTGCATTCGCTTCAAAATTAATATTCTCCGAAGTATGCTTTGGTCGTTTCTGTTTTGCTGTGTGCCTTCATTCTATTCGTTCAAAAAATTCCAACTTAATTAGTTTAAAAGTATATTTCGGGAAACGCATGCACATGAGCAGCAAAGTGATTTTTTTTTCATGTGCATGCATACTTTCCATATTGAGAATGAAAATTTAACACACGCTATTTTTAACAGAATATTGTTTTTTTTTCCTTTAGTTGTTAAACGTAAGGATGGAAATAGGTAAGTTTTGTTTCGAGGTTTCCTTCGAAAGATTTCTATCAGATAGGATTTAGCAACAATTGTAATCGGAAACAATTTTCCGCCAGGCCATTCATTTAGTGTCTTCCTTGAAGTATCGTGCACATGGATAATGCTAAAGTGAGATTAAATGCTTTATCACGGAAGGAACATCAAACAAGTGGGAAACCAACCGTGACTGGAATCGTTTATTAGTAGACAGAAACGAAACTAAGGCATCTGAAGCTATGCAACCAAATTAACTATGTTTTATTTTAGTAAATTGAAAAATGTACAGAAATATTGATATTTATAATGTATACCTCACAATTTTAATTTGTACTCATTTAGACTGCATTGACGGGGGTGCGTATATTTATCGTGCACATTTTACTCTAATGCCCATTATATTTAATGTAGAATAGTATACTAAATAATTATTACGTGGTAATATTCATATTGTTTTAAATTTAGTAACAGAAACTTATACTTAATCGCGATTTAACTCTGGAGGGTATTATTATAATCTTCTAGAAAATGCCCTTTAATTTGGTTGGTATGTCAAGTGATGATTTTTTATAGTCCATACCATCCGATGTTGATTCAGTTGTCTAGATATTTGTTGGTAAATTTAGGAATTTCTGGCCCTTCAAAGGGTTAAATGTTTTCTGTATATCTTGAAATTCTAAATGGTCCACTTCCTAACTATCTATATCGTCATACTAAACTAAACCATGAATTTTTCCATTATATGTAAGCTCACAAACACATTAGTGTAAAGCTCATTCGATTTATTTCGAGGAATTTTACGTATTCGTATAAGTAAATATTTATTTTTCGTTTACTTTTACCAGGATACGACCGTAGTCATGACTTTAACATGTTTTGTTTGGCATTTCAAACGAGGATAAATTTAATGAATCGTAAAAATAGCTACTTTTTTTTAGCAAACTCTCTCGTTGTGATACCTGGAATTCTGAACAAAACGGAAACGTGGAAAGAATGTGACAAATGTCCGGCAAACTGCAGATTTGATTAAAATTTTTGAACTTACCTTTGAATACTTCCGTAACAGCATTGTGGAGTGGTTGTCGCGTATATCGACCTGAAAACAACATATATATTCATGCACTAATTGAGCAAAACAAAAAATAAATAAACAAGAACAAATATAATTTCAATGAGAAACTTACTAGGAATGTTATAATTAGATAATGCAGCTACAAATAAGTGCTTTTAACCTTCTAAACTATTTACTAACTAAATTAAACACTCGTATGTATGTAAATTGATGTGTATATTTATGTCAATATGGTTGTTTCAGACGTACAAACTGTTGGAATTCTACATGCGAACTTCAAGAATGCAATGATTAAATTAAATAAAATAGCATTCAACACCTGATATTTATAAATATATATTACTTAACTGTATATAATTATACAATTAAATGTATTTTGTTATTAACAAGCGTCCTTATAGAAAAAAAAACATCTGTTTCTTCATTTCAAATTAAAAACAAAAATTAAAGAAATTCATTCTGAAAAGTTTATCTCTATGTGATATTAGAATTATAATATTTGCAACTTGATAATGTAAATGTGCAAACTAGAGAGTAAACTGAAGAATAAGTCAATTTTCATGTCACATTAGATTAGTTAATTTGAGGATTGCAACTGGCCCTTCGGAATGGTTGAAATTCCAAACACGAAGCTTGTTCAGTATTACACATTAAACACATTCCTGAATCGCACCATCTACTTACTACCATTACTGAAGTTAAATTTAATATTACAGTTTTCATTTTAATTTCTTATGATATTTTCCATATTGAAACACAACAGAACAAAAGCATGCAAGGCTAATGATAACAATTTCAAAGATGTTTATTAAAAAAAGAAAGCTTTTCAAGTACCAATAAATATGCGGCATATTAGTAAGTGAAAGTGTAGGAAGTAAATGTTTTTTTTTTTCAATATTCCTGTGATTGACTTAATAACAGCAAAACGTGATGGTACTTAGACGGACGCCAATCTCCAGCAATCGAGTTCGAAAATTAATTAATTGATTGATTATAATTTATAATTGGAGATCTCTACAAATGACACCAACTAATTAAGCATGTAATTAAATATATAAATTTATTAATTATGAACACATTTTATGTTGTAATTATTACCAAAGTAATATATGAAGAGTTGTGGGACAATGTTCAGTCAATTAAACAATCGTAACGAAATGTTTGACAAGTAATTATCGAAAGCATAAGCATATGTCGCTGTCTACAATATTACATTAGTTTCATTACGTTATTTATTATAGTTTAGAATGAATAGTAGGTCACGTTTTCAATTAAATACAATTACCATTAAATATCGAGTACAACAAGCACAATTTGCACCTATTTGAGCTTGCAAAAAATCGAGGGTACAAAAACCAAAACTTTCAATAATTAAATGTAAAGTAATGATTTGATATTTTAGATTATAAAAGTATATGTAATATAAAAGAAAAACTTGAAATGTTGTGAATACGTATTATACAGTAGAATCTGTTTTTGTGCGGTTCTTTTTTATGCGATATATGAATTCCAATGGCTCAAACGATTCTGTTAGTTGATTTTGAACTAATTCATAACAAGAAGATGCGCATTTTGGATTAATACGAGTAGCAGTGAATTAAGTTTTAAAATGTTTCCATATGTAATTTAATTATTTATTCAAGCATGTTTATACACGAGTGCATAATATATTAAAAATTTACGTTTCTTAGTAGTAGGCAATCCTCATTGAATTGTTTTTGTATATTCAAATGTAAAGCAGGGTTTTAATTAAAAACAATAACTAGTAACGAAGATGTCATGTTGGGAACGTTAAGCGCGGCTAGAAATTGATGAACGATATTCTGGTGTTAAAATATCTCGCTTCTATAGAATCCTTTTGTATATTTCACAAAAGGGGTCTTGCATTTTCCTGTGGAAATATTTCATGGCAATAAATCCATTTAACGTCTCATTAAATCCACCAGTTTGTGACCCATAAAGAGACCATCCATTAATTTCTACTGAAGAAATGTTTGTTCTAAAACTCACTTTTAGTATTATTAAAGTACGAAAACTCTATATGAAAAAAAAATATGAAGAAAAGCCCTCAAGATACGCTAGTTGATGTATCAATTTATTTCGTCCGTATCATTGATTTTGAACACGTAACTGACTATAAACATGGGACACGCGACCCAAGCGTTTCTTATGCAAGTAACATGGACAAAATTATGTAATCCTTTTAAGTGGAAATGTTTGGGACTGTCCTGGTTGTATTCTAATTAACCGGAATTAAGCCCAAGAGTTGCGTAGGAAAACCAACATTAGAGGGTGCCAAAATAGAACAGGATTATATCGTAAATTGTATAGCACTTTAATTTAAATAACATCATGTCACTCATAGGCTATTTAGGACAAAACTGTAATTACATTACATTGTGGTAATAAACCTAAACTTGCAACATTTATGGTATAAATCATATAAAGTAATTTTAAAAACACAACAAATACAACTTTTCATCCGCATAATATTAATTCTAACCTGTTTCTTACCTTTAAATGTTCATGTAAAAACTAATGATTGAAAGCTTTATGTAATTAAAGAAGTTTTATAACGTTTCTTCACTTATCGGTAATTAACTATCATATTAATATTTAAATTGTTAGTGTTCTTGTATATTTTACCTATTTATGAACGTATGTAATTTTTCTCTCACAAAATTTGTATAATTGTATTTACTACTACTTTGTATTGATTACATAATTAATACCTTTATAACAAAATACATTTTCTTCGAATTACATATTATCGCAACATACATTTCCCATTAACATTATACATATTTCAGTCGTCATCTGTTTCGGCAAAACAAATTAAAAGTACTCTATTTATTCTGCGCACATTCTTCTGACGCAAAGCATCATTACAATGCAGCAACACTTTTTTCCCATTGGAGTAGATTTTTCCGCACGGAACTCACCTATAAAATTATTATCATCCCTATTGTAGCCTCTACGTTATTGCAGCTTTTCAGCCTGATGTGCCATTACAGTAGATGTGTATCGCTGTTTCACAATAACTATGACCATTGATTTTCATTTCCGAATCGCAGTGTAAATTGGGTTTACGTAAGACACATTGTATGCCGGAACGTAATGAAGATTGCGGGTCATGAGAAATAAACGGGTCAATTAACAATTATCGTTAACACGACTCTTTTCAAGCCGTAAATGAATTTGCAAATAACTTTAACTACGTACAGCAATACCTCTGTTCGACCAATATCCCAAACTTTTTGTAACAAGAGTAATCAATAAACTAAATACATACAAAAAAAGACTTTACTATATAAAGAAAAACAAATACCTATTAACTATGTGTAAAATAATTTTCTATACTTTTTTTTAGAACTTACTTATATTTTAAATTTTGTTTTGAACTTTTCAAACCAAACTATAGTGAATCCGGACTAATCGAATCCAAACTAAGTATTACCGTCTGTATATTGATTTAATATAATTATATACTTTTTCAGTATAGCTACATTGTGCAATTGTAAACTGTAATAATAAATAAAATAAATTATATCGTAAGGCGAATAAACGATAATTAAGTCGATGAAGAAAAATAATATATGGAATCTGTTAGTATGAAATATTTATAACCATCAGAGTATTACAAGGAATGACCAAATGTGATCGATATGTCATATCTTGAGGAAGATTAATTGCTAAACATATATTCGTAGTCGTCAAGGAAATGAAGAAAAATACATGGTTGATGTAATTTATAGAACTAAATTAATTTGCTGATAAACGTATAAACGTTTTTTTCTATTATTAATACCAAGAACAATAATATATTAAATTATATTTGTATTCATTGCATAAATAATAATGAAGTCAATAATTAACACAATTACTATGTTAATTTGATACTTTTCAATCAAAAATGATAAATAAAAGAAATAAATAAATAACTCAATTCTTTATACATTCCATTAATTGACAATTCTGTGTTTCATATATTACCATTACCAAAGTACTACAATAGTTGAAAATAAAACATACTAAATTTTAATTGAGAAAAATTAATTCTAAAAAAATTGTTCACAAAATGATGTTTTTTCTAAATAATCGTTTTTTGCTTCTTCTATACAGTTATCTCTAAATTTTAAATTAATACGGTTTCAAACAGTGCGGGATAATGGCGAAACCTATTACAAGTACTATGCTAGGTATTATTGTATTTGTATTGTATTGTATTTTATAAATGTTATTTTAAAAGTAAAATATATGTATATGGTTAACTTTTCCAAGCTTTATTTTGTAGATCATTCTCACTTTGTATACTCAATATACCTAGTAATGTGAGATTAGTTTATTCCATTTTATGAACAATATAGATACTTTACTAATTGACCACCAACATTTTTCATTTAATAAATCATAAAACATTCAAATTTTCATTTCAAATAAATAACAATTATTAAACTTCCGTTTAATTTATTTTATGAAAGAATAAGTATTTGTCATATTTTTTATTATTTGAAATAATGTCTGTTACTTTTACTATTATGTACCTATTTGAACATAATTACAAATTATCAATTCATATAATATATAAGAGCGACTAATGGCCGAATGGTTAAGTCGCCCTATCCACGGTCCCGTGGACGCCGGTTCTAGTCCTGGCAAAGCCTTTATGAGCTCCATCGTTGCAGCAATAGAACGTTCATCATAAAATGGACAGTCAAATGAATGAGGTTCAGCATATGGACCTCCAACCAAGTCGATGGTCAATTATAATGTTATGGATAGCAGCAAATACACAGTCAATAGGTATAGTGTAATCGCAGAGCATCAATATACTACTGAAGTTAACTTACATTACAGGACGACAGCCAGCCAACAAATCACAGATGTATATAATGATAAAAACTTCTATTGGGAAGCTTACTAAAGAACAAAATGTCTACCGCCATTAGATTTAATTAATGTTCGCAGGAATAGATTGTAAAAATAAATATACAAAGATATAATAAAATAAAATATAATATATG